TAAATACATATTTCAGTACTTATTGTCATCAAGCTCAATTAACTGTTCGTGTCAATTATCTAACGAGGAAAGTAAAATCTGTTGTGAAAACTTATGATTTGATGATTGTGAGCTTATTATCCAGTTATTTCTCCTCCGTGATTTGGAAGGTATATAAAGCAGTTGGTTATGGCTGCATAGCTGCAGTTGTAAGCACGAACAAATGCACACTGTTGGAGGTTTGCATCATGTTCTCTATTTCAACCATAGGGCAAGCCTGTGCCCCAGCAGTGGGGATAATAAAAGCTGATGATAATGGAATTTCAGAAAAATATTTGCCCTCCTTATTAATGAACGAAGAATAAGTTTTGGTATACTGTGCGGTATTTGGACTCAGAACACAAACATAAATATACTAGAGGTCATTAGCAACAAATAAGGTTCAGTGAACTTGGAGTCAAAAATGGATGGTTACCGACTTCTGAGGGTTCTTCGAAAAGCTTTTAAAAAATGACTTCTTTCAGTACAATATCCTATCTTCAATATTTAATATACTTTCCCTCAATGTGGCAAACCTGTGGGACGCACTGTATACTTGATTTGTTTAATATAATAATTTATCTCGTATTTAACTTTAAACAGTTTTTGTAAATTATTTGTATCCCATACTGTTTATGTGTTTGGTGAAATGTATGTATTCTTAGTGGACATGATTGATAATATGATAACTAATAAAAGTAAAAGTGACATTGATTAAAGATTTATTATCAAGACAAATTCAGTTTATTCATTTGTGGCACGGTAGATCATTTTTATAAACTGCTTGAAATACAAGGTATGTTCTTAAAGCTATTTCTTGATTACATTTTAAGTATGTATTTAATGACAATTTATATATTTTGTAAAATGTCGTTATTATATCATTAAGTAATCCAATAAATAATGATAATGAGTGGGCTATAATGAATTACTTTGTGGGCAAGGTTGGGCAGGCATCAGGTCCTGGTGATACTGAGAGTAAGATTTAGAGCGGCAGAACAAAATGATCCCTATTTATTTTACTAATGTTCATAGGGAAACATCTACAAATGACATGATTGATTACATTAAAAAAGACGGGAGAAAAAGTGACACTAATAAAATTAAATATTAAAAACCGGTCAAGTGCGTGTCGTGTCACGCGCAGTGTAGGTTCCGTAGTTGCCTGTAGTTACCACAATATATTGGAGTAGGAGTCTTTATTTTCTGTATCGGAAATTAGAAAAATTAATTAATATCAATCTATGTATCTCAACTAAAATACCTAAAACCTTCAAATCAAATCAATTCGTTTTTTTTAATACCAATGATAACCGCCAATTTTGTTTCCTCCCAGACCGGAGCCAGTGTGAAATCTTCATGGATACCCTACAGCCGGCTGCAAGGTTATGTCAGACTCTTACAGACTAAAATTTTCATCTGAAGTGATTATCCCCTGAGAAGGGGATGTTGCGGTATAACCGCCTCTCTTTTCAAGTGCTTATATATAGTTTTTATTTATAAAAACGTACATGAAAAGTACTATTATGAATATTATTCCAGGTTTTCATGCCAATAGTTTAGCTTTTAGAGGGGGGACGGGACAAGACAGAGACGGGACAGGGATTTTTTTGTAGAACCAGCTTTTCATTGCATATGTTTTTGAAAGAAACTGTGGCCTAAGGGGATTGTTTGTCGGCGGTTTGTACATTGAAAGTACCGAACTATGGATAAGCACCCAGTTAAGCCAAATATCAACAAATAATAATGACAGATATGCCCAGTTAAATATAAAATTTAACCGCAGTTAAATACAAAATTTAAGGCAGACCGCACGGTGGCGTGGTGATACTGTGGCGTAAAAATGCTTATGTATCCCTCAGTATATCGACTTGAGACAACGACCGGATAAAATGTCCGAATGGTGTGTAAAATTGTTTTAAATAGTCAATATACCTTGCTTATTGTTTGTGTTTACATGCCTGTCTAATTAAGTGAAAGTGGCCTTTTCTGTAAGGAGTATTGGAATTTTCTCCAGCAGAGCTGGAGTTGTGTGGACATTGACTGCCTTGGTTTGGACTCAGGTACATACACATATATAAGTGACTCTCATGGTTGTTGTGTGTCAACTGGACTTATTTGAAATGTGCCAAGCTAGGAAAATTTTAAGTCGAAACTGAGGTGGTGTCAGGATCATGCTGAGCAGTTAAAAATGTATGCTTTTCATTTTTAACTGCTCAGCATGATCCTGACACCATGCCATGCATCACACCAGCAAAAATCTTCTAAAATGTATGCTTTCCATTTTTAACTGCTCAGCTTGATCCTGACACCATGCCATGCATCACGCCAGCAAAAATCTCCAAAAATTTTGGCAATGTACTAATAAAGTAAAAACAAAGCAAAGTAGAATATATTTATTCAGAAAGAGATCCACTTAAAATTGCTAATATTTTTAAAACACATTTTAAAGTGAGGTTATCCTTTTCTACGATTGTAAATCAAAAGTTGTAAAGGGTTCACAAAGAAAAATGCTTTTTTATTCGAGTGATGTAAAAATGTACTTAAGAACATGACTCGAGGTAAATCACCTGGCCATGATAGTCTAAGGCCCGTATTACAGCATGACAGCTAAGTGTCGATCTTTACTTGAGCACAATTAGAAAGGGATATCGCTATGTGCTATACAGAGCGACATTCCGTAGATGCTCAATACTTAGGCTCGTATTACAGAATGACAGCTAAGTGTCGATCTTTACTTGAGCACAATTAGAAAGGGATATCGCTATGTGCTATACAGAGCGACATCCCTTTCTAACTGTACTCAAGTAAAGATCAACACTTAGTTGTCATTCTGTAATACGAGCCTAAGTATTGAGCATCTACGGAATGCCGGTTCCCCCTTACCTGTCAAAGTATTAGCCATGTTTTATTAATTGTGTATAAATATATATCTTCCTAGAGAACCAAAGAAAACCGTAGTAGTGCCAATTATTAAGAATAAGACTAGTGACATTTGTGATAATAATAACTATCGTCCAATATCTCAGGCCACGATACTTTCAAAAGTACTTGACCACTTGCTAAACTTGAAACTGCGGACTTATATAAATCTACATCCTGCTCAGTTTGGTTTCCAGCCGGGTTGTCTACAGAGAGAGCGATACTAGGCCCGTATTATAGAAAGATTCTCAGTGATTGATCTAGTCTTGAGCATAGTTAGAAAGGGAAGTCGCTATATATAGCACATAGCGATATCCCTTTCTACCTGTACTCAAGTAAAGATCAACACTTATTCGTCATTCAGTAATACGGACCTTAGTGTATAGCATGCCGTAAAGTATTATGAGGAGCGTAAGACATCAGTCTATGCTTGTTTTTAGATTTATCCAAGGCTTTCGATCTGGTGTCTTATGGGTTCCTCTGGCTTAGATAGCTGAATGTACATACAGACTTGTGAACATCTTTGAGCTTTGGTATGCTAACCAAGTTAAAGTCGTAAAGTGGGCGGATAGTTGGTCAGATGAGTGTGGGGTGAGGCAGGGGGGGATTTCTTCCCCTACGCTTTTTAATGTATACATGTGAATTTAGGAACATGCATGCGGGTTGTTACATAGCTCGAGTCGCGTTTAATAACATAAGCTATGCTTATGATATGGTGTTGCCGAGTCCATCGATTAACGCCCTTCGCAATCTACTTGGTGTATGTGAGCGTTTTGCTGAGATTCATGGTCTTAAGTACAATACAAGTAAAAGTGAGTTTCTGATTTTTGTTCTAGGTAATGAGATTTTTGACTTTCCCCCAGTTTTACATGATGGTTCTCCACTTAAAAGGGTAAAACAATTTAAATATCTTGGGCACATAATTACGGATGATATAAAAGACAACGTTGACATTGGGCATTTTGGGTAGGGCGTTGGCTTACCGGGGTTACCCCGGTGGTTATGTTGCCTCGCAGGAATGCTCGTTGCTCGACTCAAGTGAAAATAACATTATTTAAGGCCTACTTTCAGTCTTTATACACGAGCAGCTTGTGGGTCGACTTCTCGCAAAGGACATATAATGCAGTGCGTATTCAATACAATAACGTAGTTAGGATGCTGCTACGGCTGCTACGTTTCTGTAGCGCATCCGGCATGTCTGCTGACGCACGTACGGATGACTTTTACGCGATTAGGCGGAAATGTATATAGCCTCACTGTTACTTAGAGTGCGTGCCAGCGGTAACAGCATTCTTAAGACAATGTCAGACAAATATGCCTGCTCAGTTCTCAAATATCAAGTAAATCTGATAATAGGGACAATAAAGTAGGAATTCTTTGAATTTAAATTATATTTTTAGTAAGTTATTTCAATTTATTTTATTTTTGTTGACATTTACATAATGTGATATTATATGATATTTGATTTAAATGACGTTGAATATAAAATATTAAATTATTATATGAATTCACTTAAATTGCTTGACATTTAAATTACATTACATGACATTTTAATGTTTTGACTTTAAATGTACAATATGAATTAATTATATAAATTCATTTTGGTTTGAAATTTGGTTGAGATTACATTTTATTTTATTTATAATATATACAATTGAATCCTAAAAATAATATATACTAACATAGCATTTAAGCTAAATATTGTTAATAACGATTTAATGGACCATTTTATTGTCTGTAATAAACAATTTGAATTTGAATTATTCTTTACAAGAAAAAATATTAAGACATCATTATTAAAAATTCTTAAAATTACAATGAAATTACTTAACCTACATTTCTATTATATGTATAATTAGTTGGAATTATAAATAATACTTACTTTAAGCTTAAACAACTAAGTAATTTAAAATTAAAATACTTGTTTATCACGGGGATTATATTAAACGTAAAATAAGTAATCATGGAAGCTTTAGAATTAATATACATATTATTTCAGAATGATTTTTATATTGATATAATATATTTAAAATATCTTATCAATGTTCTTACTTTGAAAAAAAGAACGTTCAATTAAAATGATTTCAGTAAATTTATTTGTCTATAGGTAACAAAACCTTAAAACTGGAGCAATGATAACAATGGAAGTATTCTTAGATTAAAACAGAAGTATTATATAACCTGCCTGTTAGGAAATTATTAATTTCTGATTCAATACTATTTAATTACTGCATGCATATGCATAACAATTTTAACATAATAAACAAATTTTCATTTTTTATTGTAGTTATAATTGCTATAACATATAAAATTAAATAACAAAAACTTAAAAATTACTTGATATTTAAAACTTACAGTCAAAATAACCTTAACCTACTTAACTAATACATACATACAAAAATTAAAAAATATGTTACTCCCTGCGCCGCCGTCAGGAATGGTGCCCCAAAGGTTGGCAGCATTGCCACGTTGGATGGCAAGGCTGATCCGTTGACCAAGATCGTCTTTGACAGTTCCTTAGGGACAGGGAACGAGCTCTTGGACTCCATTGGCACATATTCTCAACACCAAACGGTACAAATATGTAGTTCTCATAGAGAGCTAAATATTTGCGCCACTTGGAGCACTCGTCAGAGGCTGCCGCCGCTCCTGCAGCTAGGGAGGTACTACATGTATGGCACTGAGCAAGCGTATTCACGCAAATTGCGTCTCATACAGAAGTACGACCCTGCTTCTTAGAAATGAGCTTCATACCGTCAAATGACAAATGACAAAATAAAAATACCTACTGATGTGAGTGTTGGCGGCCGTTTACCGTCAGACGGGCCTTTTGCTTGTATTTGCTACCCTATAAATTAGGAAAATAAAAATGAACTAAATCAAGGTCTAATATCTGCTTTACGCAGTCGCATTGGTTGCAGCTGTGACTGAAGACTGTAGTTAGTTGCTGTAACAATAAAAAAAAACCGTTACTTATGCACAATATTTAACTGACTGCACAATTATAAGAAAACTGTTTTAGGCGATAGGCTGGCTAACTTATCACAAAAGTTACAGGCTATAATGTCCTGTTAACACAAGATAAGAAATACGTGAGAACATATATTTTGCTGACAAACACGGCATTTAACTCCAATACAATTAAAATAAAAATTGTGTGTGACAGCTCCGACGCACGACTGGAGTTTACTGCTTAAGTTCGATAGTCTAACCAGACGCAAAAAGAGTTAATTTAACTTAAAAAAAAATGATACTGTATGAAAGGGTAAATTAACAAATTAATGAAAATATATATTTATTTATTTCATATACATTTATTATAACTAATTGACGAAATATTTTACATTAAACTTTTTACAATAGTCAATTTCAGATGTGCATAAATATATCATTAGGAATGTTGATAAATTATGTAATTATCATTATCAGACTATTATCATTTTTTAAACATTAATTAAATCAGTTTGTCCTTGGTGGGCGATTATGTATACGCCATTTGTGCATTCAAAATTTTAGTTCATATGTATCAAAATAGATGGCGCTGTAGTTCGTTGCATCACGCTTGTAAATATGTTTGGAGCTACATATAGGCAAAACGTCACCTAACTAATAAAGAAATCTATGGTCTAACAAAATACACTGTAGTTTCAATTTAATTCTTTTGCACCTAAGCTCTCGGATTTAAGAGTCATTTTGGCACGAACAGGATGCGCACCAAAAACGTAACGAGGTCATTCATCGATAGATTTTACTCCTCATCCTCACATTTTTCTCATACCGGGCCCCTTATATATGCAAATCGATTCTTAAGGAGTAAACTCCAATAAAAACTCGACAACCAGCATAAAAAACAATAACATTTATAGGCTATTCTTAGCGTGCGTTGCACCTCACGTTGCACCAACTAACTTGTACGTTAACTTTCAATTCATGAGAGTCTAGTAAAATTAAACTTAAGCTAGCTCTGTGGTGCAACTCACACTATTAAGTATAAAGTACATTTAAATTACCTCGTTTACAAATGTGTTATTCCGAGCTGGTTGACTCGTACGTGACATTGTTGCAGGTTTTGTGCCGCTCAGTGTTGCGGTTATTCAGACTACGCGCGCGGGACATCTTGCACTCGTCGGCACATTTAGTAGTGATGACAGTTCTAGAAGAAATATTGTAATTTAAAAACGGACGTTCTATTTATCTGCTAAAGGGGGTGCCTTACAAAATTGCACTTTAAAAAATTTACACCTACAGTTTTTTCAAGAAAAAAATCATGTATGTTATAGACAAGCATTCGGTTAAATTATAGACGTAAAGATTTTTATTTTATTCAGCAATCAAAACACCGTGTTGCCGTGGATGTTCCAAGAATAAAAAAATGTCATATTAAGCTGTTTTTGGGTACTCAATGGGCTGTTAAAATACATACCGTACTTGAGACTCGGTGACTCCGCACTTGTCCATGACTGTCTGAACTATGTCTTGAACCAAACGTGGATCCAGTTTTTCCTTGGCTGGCTTATTGGGGAACGCGGGAGATGCTTTACCCGTTAACGAATGTGTGGCCAACACTCTGGGAAAATATAGTGTAATTAGAAGCAACATAATTACAGTCAACACTTTCGGTTTTGGAGATTTCCTATTTTGCTGTGAATGACAAATGTAGAATGTGGCAAATGTTAACTTTCCTGTGGTAACAATACTATTTACGATCTACAGGGAACACAATTTGCAGACTTGCGTTAAATAAAATAGTAATAGCTATCGATGGGCTGGCAACTATTGGTCACAATTGTTTCCTTAAATTAATTTAAACTGAAACATTAAGTTTATGGTGACGACATCTACATGACCCACATATAACTAACATGGATAAAATAATCTTACGCCTCCTCGATGGCGTTACCGGCGCTGCGCCCACAACGTATGGAAGCCTAAATTACGCAAGGAAAATTCCGAATTTTTAAAATTTGGGGCCGCGGCCCCCGAGCTACCATCATCCAGCTCGGAGGAAGATCTTCCGCTTTGGCCTTCCTACAAGACCATAGGATAGGTGCATTGATATTAGCAGCAGTTTGTGGTACTCACTCGCGCGGGAATACAGCTGTTAGAAGTTTCCGCGTACAAGCGGTGTAAGAACTCCAGTTCATGTGTTTAAGGAGTCTGCCAGGCACTTCCGCATTCCCGTCTCCAATGGGAACCTGTGTGTTTTTAAACATTATAAATGGCACTGGTATATTAACTAATCATAAACTTAATCTTACTTAAAATAAAGTAATCCTTAGTTCAGAAAATAATACATGCACAATTAATTAGTACTACCCGGAAATCAAAATGATCATCTACATCCAAATTGAACAACATCTTCAAATATCACGTTTTGAGGCAGGTAATTGAGCGCGTTGCACCGAATGCATCATAGACTTTCACCATTAATGGTGCAGATGAAACTTCTTGATTTCGTTTGCACCAATAATATGAATACTAATGCTTCCCGATTCTTCCCTTTCCCTTACATTAAAAACAATAAAATTCAAGAAACTAATGAATGATATCATAATGAAACAATGAAAGTTTCATTATAACACGTAAAGAAAAATAACTAATTATGTCAGCGCATTTATATTATAAGTATCATCACTATGGTGCAGATGACACTTTCTATAGTCAATGTGGTTTAACCCTATAAGTGGTGAAGGTGAATCAGTTCCGTCTGCACCAATAATGGTCGAAGTCAATGGTGCATTCGGTACAACGGGTGAATGAGAAGTTTGCATTAAACATACACAAAAAGACAACACTTACCAATTCATTACTGGCATTGTTTTTTTCTTTTAACACACGCTTCTTTACACTCCTTTTATGAACAATCTTTCTAGAAGTTTTGCTCGTGTTAAAAGTACTTGACGAAGTGCTGGATTTGGAGGTCCCAGGAGTTGAAGGATTGTGAGTTTCCTAATAAAACAAGAATACACAATAACAGTAAATATATTTATATAACTATGCGAGGCCATGGTTATTGATACTATAAAAAATGATTTCACAATATCTTTAATGGGAAATTCAATTCACATGCATTATTCGATAACAGCTCAACTGGTTTGGCTGATTGGTTTTTGTTTGTAATGACGAAGAGAAAGGAAACACAGATTTGTGTTTATATATTTATTAATAGTCATCATTCCTCATTTTCTTATTGGTGCGAATTGCTTGCAGTCTAACACTCGTATTTATAATTTTTTTTAGAGTGAAATAAAAATGTTCCATTATTCTTTACTTTATTGAAATATTTTACTAGTTTCTAAATTCGTCGGTTAATACTGTTAAAATTAAATTATATGTAATATGTAACAACTGTTTTCATTGCAAATATCAAATACTGATTATAGATAGATTTTCAAAGTATTGTTTAGATCAATGGCTTACCTGGGTTTTATTTTCTGTTTTCATGATATCGAAATACCCCTTTTCATACAATGATAATATAAACGTGTTTATTTCTTTAATTAAACTTTCGAATTTATCCTCATCGCATCCAGCCAAGACACCTTTGAGTGTAGATGAAACGCATTTCCTAATTTCTTCCGTCAAGCAGTGGGGATGTCCGACTTTGCTATCGCGTGTTTTGCTCGAACCTTCGCCGTTTTCTCGTGAAAGCTTTTGGCGTTTCACTGGCATATTTTCAATATCAGATGAATCTGTTGATCTAGCACGAGGTATAGTCATGGTGACACTTTGTTGTTTCACCTTTAGAATAGGCAACGAAGATCGTGGTGTGGACTGCGAAAGAGGAAATCAATTATTATATTACATCTTCACGCCATACAACTAAACACTTGTAACTGGTTACCTGAATTCAATAACAGGATAAACCAATGATAGGGCCTGAATTGTGACCTTAACACAATTATTTCTGGTTGGCGACGAGTCAATAACTAAAGTTTTTAAAGTTAGCTTCCTTTGTTAGAAATTAATTATTACGTTATAAATATTATCAACGGACTCATTGTATCCTTTTCACCCTTTTAAACATGGGAGCAAATAATTTAAACTGGCAACACCAAATTTTATTTTAGGAAGTCAATGCAGAGTTACTAATATTGAAAGGAACAAATTACTTACTGCTGCTTTCGGATGAAAAGATATTTTGTGGCCATGATTGCTCGACATCTTTGAGTCCTTAGCAGCATCAGTATCTATAGAAGTAAACATACACAGTCTGAAAAATCGGTTCTTAAATATATCCTAATTATCAGCTTGATGATAAAGCTAGTCCTAGCAAAGCGGGCTTAACCTGATCGCGACTGAGGAAAATAAAAGAAATTTTACTAAGACATCCATTCTTTATAAAAATATAAACGATATAAGTCCCAACAGAGGTTTTGTGGACATGGTAAGCGAATGGAGGTTGCTTTGATCTTACAATAGGTATAATACCGTGACCCGTGCATGTCTTCAAAAGATGAAAATTTTAACTTTACTCAGTTGAAATCCTCATCATAGGTATATTCCGTTTTTGTATTGAGTTATGGGTAGAAGCTGGGCTAATAAAACCACTCGCAGTTAATACCCTGGTATCGCAACTAACCGGTTATCGAATCCGGAACCTCACCAAATCCACCGATATTAGCGTTTCATACAGGTAAAAAGTTGAAGTGTATTTTGAACTGAACACAATAAATTTGTGTCATTTTAATTACAAATGTAAATAATAAAAGTAAACGTGCAAAATATGCAGGAACAAGCAAGCAAGCTTTAAGCACACGCTTGTTTTGTCCCATGACATTGTCGAGTACGTACCAGGGCAGTCGCTGCTATTTTGCTGTTCTTGTAGAGTGATCCGTATTTGCTCCGACGCAATTTTAGAAAGCCAATCTAAAGGTGTCATTGAAGCCTCCATAGTCTGTACCGTGAAGAAAATTTATCATGTATTAGTGATCGCGTGAAAAAGTGAACGCAAAATACATTTACTAAATTAGTTTTTCCACACTTTTCCAATCAGTAAAGTAGTACTAATTAGTTTTACATTCGTGACAGATTAGCCACATATAAATTCAGGAGCTGGCGAACAAAACGGTACAATTACGCATCTGGTCAAACTAACTGAAACTCAACAACAGGATAGAGCATAGATAGGATCTAAATTGTGATTTTAATACAATTATTTCTAGTTGACAAGTCGGCAATAAAGTTAGCTTCTTCTGAATATAATTACAACGGTGTAAAAGTTAGCTACGGGATCACATTATATCGATTTCCACTTTGTTCAATATGGGAGCAAAGTAATTTTAACTTGCAACACCAAATGTTATTTAAAATATTCAATGCAGTGTTATTAATATTGAAAGGAACAAATAACTTACTGCTGCTTTCGGATATAAAGATTTTTTGTGGCAGTTATCGCTCGATCTCTTTGAGTCATTAGCAGCATCAGTATCTGTAAATTAAACATAAACAGTCTGAAGCGCTTCTTATATGCATCTTCATTATCAGGGTGATGATAAAGCTAGTCCCGCGAGCAAAACCAGCTAAGTCTGATCGCGACTGAGGAAAATAAATGGAAATTATTAAGGCATTACCTAATTTTGGTACCAAACCCACACATTCATTGGTCACAACAATGGTTTTGTGGACATGGAAAGCGAATGGAGGTCGTTTTGATCTTAGAATAGTTATAATACTGTGACCCTTACATGTCTTCGAAAGATAAAAATTTTTACTTTACTAAGTTGCTTACTTGTTTTAAGTTATGGGTATGAGCTGGGCTAATAATTTTAATACCCTGGTATCGCAGACAAAAAGTTATTCTAAAGGAGTTATTTTAAAAACCTTATCGTTCCCAACTATAATATATGTTCGCTAATATTTTTTTAAATTTGAATCCTATCCTATCCTAACCCGGTTGTCGAATCTGGAACATCGCCAACTACAACGATATTAGCGTTTCATACAGGCAGGCAGTTAAGTGTTTTTTGAACTGAACATAATTAATATGTATCACTTAAATTACAAATGGAAATAATAACGTACAGTAAATGTGTAAATTATGTATATTATGAGTACGTACCAGGGCTGTCGTTGCTATTCTGCTGTTGGCTACCGCCTTGTAGAGTGATCCGTATTTGCTCCGACGCAATTTTAGAAAGCAAATCTAAAGGTGTCATTGAAGCCTCCATAGTCTGCACCGTAAAGAAAATTTATCACTTATTATTGAACGCGTGAAAAAGTGAACGCAAAATACATTTACTTAATTAGTTTATCCACTGAATTTACTTATTAGCTTTACATTCGTGATAGATCGGACACATATAAATTATTATATTTTGATAAGTCTTAAGATATTCACTCCAACTATATAGAGTGGAGATCAAATGAGAAAACAAAAGGAAGATATAAATAGATGCAACAAAAACATACCTTTTCATTTAATTCATTATTATTTTGCTAGTTTATTATATTCAGGAGTTCATGAAGAATTTAAACATGCATGAAAGAAAGAATGTTTGTCTGTGACGTTTCACGCCTAAATCCCTCAATCGATATTAATGAATTTTGGTTTGGAGTTTAGAGGACTGCAGAAATGGAGATAGACTAGTTTATTACGCAACAATTAAATTTGAAGAGGATGAATTAGGGAGCGTGTAGGTATGTATATGTCGTAGGATGATTCGATGAACCGAATTTTCGAGATAGTCTTAGGGATTTTGCGAAAACTTCATTGATGTGCAACATCTTTCCTCTCGCTTTCCTGCAATTTGTCGGAGTGATTTCTTGAAATAGGACGGAAGTGTGTAACAGGAAGTCGCGAGAGCGCGCGCTATTTGATTTGATTTTAGAACATAATGTTCAAATGGCTTATTCGTTTTGTTTATTTTTTTACTAATATAAGGTGAGGTGTCAAATGATACACATAATAGGCTCGCTCGTTTTTTTTTGCAATCTTACTGAGGCGACTCACGTTTTCGCTAAATACCTTAACAGTAAGTAAGATTGAGATATATATTGGTCAATATCTAATTATATCTACGATTTCATAAAATCCCTAGGAATTTCGAAACTCAACGCAAACCTCGTTTTGATAGAAGTAATAATTTCTTCAAAACTATTACAGAAATACGTAATTAATAAACATATCAAAGTAATTTAAAAGCCAAACGATTGATTCCCTTGCTTATATATTTAAGTTGTTTTATCTCATTTAGTAAAAAACCTGCTCAAATACGAATCTGATATAGGCAGAAAAAAGGGGGGAACGAACTCGTCGAAAAGATTTAAAAAGTGCCTTCAGATTCAGACCTAAACTTAACGTTGTCAGTCACTGCTTGAGATTCCAAGCTATCAAGCTATTTAATGTTCTCGCTATAGAATTGAAAACCATTTACAGTCCATATAAATTCCAAAACAAACTTAAAATGTTCTTATTGACTTAAGAACTAAGACTTAATATTTAGATGACAGAAATTTAAACCTAATATGAAATTTAAATAAAACTAGTTTTAACGAGTTAATGCACGAAACTTTATGAGAAACGTTATAAATAAATAAAGTTTCGTGCATTAACCCGTTAAAACTAATTTTATTTAATGAGTGAAGTGCGTGAAAACCTAATAAACTAATATGAAATTTCTTTGACATGTTTAAATTATAGTCGATTTATTTCAATTATATGCTGCAATTTTAAATAATATTTAATTTTATTAATATTGCATATTTAGTTATTTAATTGTAAGTTGTCTGAGAATTGATTTTGAAATGTAATTATATAAGAATTATTGAAATTTAATTGATTCTAATTATAATTTTATCTAATAATTTTGTTGTGATTTCCAATACGAAGAAATTTGTTTAAGGAATAAATGACAATGACTATTCTTACATATATATGATAAACACAAACGGAATCATCTACCATTAAAATAATTATTTTAATTAAATCGCCTGCCCTCATTATTTTTCAACTAGCGGCCACCCGCGACTTCGCCGCGTTAACTGTTGTTTTTTTTTTTGAGAATCCCACAGAAACCTAACATTTTTCCCGGATACAATGTATCTTATGTCTCCATCCAGGTCTTAATCTCTCTATGGGCACCAAATTTCATCCTAATACCTTCAGTAGTTTTGCGTGATGTGAAATTACAAACGCACATTGATAATATTGGTACGTTTAAATAATATAAGAGAAGCTAAAACAAAATAAAAAAATACTCACATTGATCAGCATTCAATAAATGAACACAACAAAATTCACTACACAACTGCAGAGATGTAATGGTGAACAGAAAACAGTTGATGTGGAAAGCACGAAACTGAATGAGAGCATTTGCAAAAATTAGACCCGTTTAACGTAAAACTTAAAAAAAGGTAGAGGGGATGGGGTTGGACTCCCACCAAAGTAGGAATCATAGAGTAAGACACCACAATGAAACTCATTGTTTCCTTACAGCCGGGTAAAATAATACTTCCATTGTTTAAGCTTTAAGGCTTAACTACTTAAAGACAAATAAATTATCTGGAGTCATTGTATTGAATGTTCTTATTTTTTAACTACGATTGATGAAATATAAACCGATATTCAAAGAACTACGAAAATTTTAAAAATACTCTTGTATGATTATCATACAAGTAAATACATAAACATGAAAATAAGCCCGATAAATGTATGTTGAATCTGAAGTTGCCATATAGGAATGATCAATATTTTAATTTCATAAAAGATTAATACATATTTTTTTTTAAATCCATAAGTTATTTTAGCTTAAAATACACTCGGTGTCAAAAAATCACAGCTTCACAAAGATAACTTTCAAGTGATAATATAACCCTTAACACACGCATTTACCCTACCACTATTTGTGACATGTGAAAGCTCATTAAATAAACTTAAAAAACAATTCAATTAATTTTTATTGTTTATGAACAGTGACGTACCGGTGAGCAGCACCTCCAGTCCGGGAGACGCTTACAAAGCTGGTTTTGTCATCGGCCGACATGCTGTCCCAAAACATACAGGAACCCGCCAACTTATTCCATCGTCTCCTGTATGATTTTTTCTATGTGAATGGGGGCCTCTCATTTACAAAAGTAGTATACATTTGAGAAGACATATAAAACGCCCAGAGGAAATCAAATCTCTAAAAGCTAGAAAATTTTTGCTTTTTTGGTAGCTGTCGGGCTAAAAGAGATAATTTAACTTGGTGTCAACAGATCTAATAGGTTGCAGTGACTACAGTACCAATACGAATGCACAGCCCCAAAAATCAAAGATAATAATATTTTCGAGGAGGTGCGTTTTTTGACGCCGAGTGTAGAATTACACTGGATAACAAAAAATACTTTTTGCATGTAACATGATAAATTTTGTATAGTTGGTTTAAAGACAAGGATAGCGATTATAAGAATAAAATAAGAATGCATTCAAACACGAATAGTATTTATATAATAACATGTTTATTTTTCAGTTTCAGGCCACAAAATAAGTTATTCCTTTATATTCCAACATAAATACAAAAGTGTTTTTTGTCTTCATTATCCTTGAGACGACACTTTGTAATGTCCAACATTAATCCGCTATGGACTCCAGTTGCTTTTATATCCTTTGTATATGACAGAAATCTTTTTGGATTTTTTTACGCAGTTAATTGCTGGCGGCCTCCATATTTTTCAAAGGCATAGTGCATACCAACTAAAGCGTGATAACATCTCCGCGACAATACTTTTATAGTCACTTGATTAGTGATTTTCTAGAAAATTACTAATCAAGTGACTATAATAGATAGAATAGAAGTAAATTTCATGAAAGATTTCTAGGCAGATTTTCACAAATCACTTAGCTTTTCTGTAAACATTTCATCTTTCATCGATTGTCTGATTTGAGGGCCAACGAATATGCTCATTAGATGGGGAAGCTTTTTGAAAATCATGGTATAATATGTCGTTTTCGATTATTTCTGACGTTGCGGTCAGATCAGAACTTTGAGGTGGTTCTGGTACAGGTAGATCTTTACTATAGGGAACGTTCTTTTAGCCGATGGCAGTTCAGGATACTTGATTTAATTTTTTGCATAATTTTAATACTTTTTGTAACAGAATGTTTGTAAAGACAAAATTGACTTAATTTTTTTCTTACAAATCATTAGGATTTCTCCCCGACATTACTACATCTAGAAATTACAAATATTTATGGAATGAAGCTCTTTACTTGTTTATACAGACAAACATACAAGAAGTTTATAACATGCCTGGTTTTGGTTCCTTTTACGTCCATAAACTGACACTCTCTAAATACGTATTAAGTGAGAAGGTTCGTGTCAGTTTATAGTTAATAAGTTTATTATAATTATTTTTATAATTATACATTGACATATTGCATTCCATCATTTTGAATTTGACCTTTATTTAATAAACTTTCGATTCCAATCTCTAATAATCTCATAATGAAAACCTAACCCAAAAATGTACCAATTTGTGGAACATTCTCTACGTTTTTCGACTTTCAGCCGGTGCGCCGTATACGTAGTATACGTTGACTACACCGTAGCCGAGAGGCGAGCATGTTTTATGTCGTAGTCATCGTAGTCGCTAAGTCGGAGATCTCAGTCAGGCTCGATTCATCATCATCATCTGCCTATTAATGTCCCTACTGCTGGGGCACAGGACTTCCCTATGGATGGAATAGGGAGATTGGGCCATGACCCACCACGCGGGTCCAGTGAGGATTGATGGGTACTAACGACTGCAGATGCAGCCGGGACCAACTACTTAACGTGCCTTCCGAAGCACGGAGGGGCTTGAGATAGTAAATTTTTGGTCACCTATCCAATGACCGAACACTGCGAAAGTTACTTAAGTTCAACGATCGCAGCCGAACGCGCTAACCACTTGCGCCATCGAGCTCCTCTATTCAATTAATAAACTCGTAAGTACCTACACTCAAACATTTCTGAAATATGCTGTGAGGACAAAGGACAATGTTAAAATTGGCCTAAGAACCAACACCAATTTGGCATTTATGATAATTCTTAATATATTTTTTGGGATAATTATCAGTATTTAGATTGTGACGGACACTTCCAGTTAAGTAAGCTAAATTAAAGAGTTAAAAAAATAATCTGAGACAATAAATACCATATTAAGTGAATAATCTATGACAGCGCTGCAAACAAAACACTCTTTCTTTCTTATGCCGGCACTTCACTTGCTATTCGTATTTGCTAAATAGCAAATGCAAAAGCGTATCTATGTCATTTTAAAACATGACATCAGTCTGTCCTTTTCATTCCTTATTAAGCATGACAAGGACAAACTGTTGTCAAGCAAAGGGCCGGCATAAAACTCGATACTCTGTGGTTGTGGTGCAAGCAGGCAGTTTGCATTCGTAGTAATCTGTGGCATTTGTGCATTCCAAAGAGTAATATAATATACAGGAAAGTGCATTCTCGTTTCGGATTAACTGTTTACCTGTTGTTTGTGTGTGTTTATTTGCGATTGTTTTTCCTTTAATTTAACTATTTCGGCCATCGATGTTACCAAAGAGCAGAGACCTTATTACCAAGTGCTAGTGAACTTGTGTCACAACATCCGGATCATACTGCCAAATTATTCAAGAACACCTGATACACATTCACGCTGCATATTTACACAATATACATGTGATATACAAATAAATACCATATACAATATGATACAATTATGTGAAAAATAGTCGATAAATAAGAAGTAAAACTACAGTTTTTATTTTATTCATGATTCCTACCTATCCAAGGTTTTCCTAATAGTTATTCTTTAAAATCGCACCGAATAAAATGATGAGTGATTAATGAAATGAAATGATTAGTTCTAATATTAATTCACTTCATACTAAGTTCATAGGTTAACCTATGTTTCATTGAATATTAAACATAACCTCAAAAAACATTTAGTTTTCCTAATAATTTAAGTTCTCAGAAGTGTCCGTCAATAATCTTTGTTTTTACAGTAATTTACTTACGATTTCGAACCTAGAAACCAATATTTCATGATTGTTGGTTCTTAGGCTAACTATGTATGGACGCTGAACAATGTCCTTTAAGAGAAAACTTTCAATACTTACAAAAAATTGTGTATTGTGAAAGTATTTATGAGCAGTGCGGCAGCAACAAATAATTTCATCATTGTTTCATCAACAATAAAATCAAAGGGAACGAGAATAACACCACGTTGTCAATTAGGTAAGCCGATAAGTGCTTTATTATTTGAGCACCTTTTGTTATAGTTACCTTCATTGTTTAGTTTACAATTTCTAAAGAAAAATCTTATTGAATAAGGATAAGATATTAAATGTTATCGACTTTAGTGGTATACAATAATATTTTTTAGCCTATATCCGCGCTCTGAAATAACTATTTAAGTATTTAATTCAGACACATATTCCTTTAATCTGACATTATCACAAAAAGTGGCAGCATCAACTATGGCAGAACTTAAAAGTAAAAACTGGTTTATTGATGCCTCAATCCAACCTGAATCCAACACCGTAATTTATCGTATAAAACGTACAATATCATCTAACATACCAATAGCGAATATGTTACCAAATGGAAACATTTACTATTTACCAAACAGGCTTCAAATTGGCTACTAAGTGTAATAAAAAAACCGGCCAAGTGCGTGTCGTGCCATGCTCAGTGTAGGGTTCCGTAGTTGCTCGTTGTCACCACAAAATATTATGGAAAGAGTCTATGCTTTAAGCAATTACTGCGTCTAAATCGCTTTTAAGGTGTATTCTAAGGATTTGTTATTAGCCTTAAAATTTTGCAATACATAACTTGAACGACTTTTACTCTTAAACTAACAAATCTCTTCAGGGCACAAAACTGGAGCTAGAGAGCAGTATCACCATGCTCGGTATGGAGATTCGCTGTGACTTAAATCCAAAGAATTACATCGAAAGTGTGATAAAAACAGCGTCACGCAAACTCGGAGTCCTGAACAAGGTGCGGCGTTTTTTCATGCCCGAGCAACTGTGCTTGTTGTATAAGACGCAGGTGCGGTCTTGCGTGGAATATTGCTCGCACCTCTGGGATGGCTCCGCTAAGTACTTGCTCGATGCTTTGGATAGGTTACAGCGGCGCGCAATCCGCATCATAGGCGATGAGGAGGTGACTAAACACCTCGAGCCTCTTCAATTACGCCGTGACGTGGCGTCACTACGCGCGTTCTATCGTCTGTACCACGGCGAGTGTTCTGAGAAGTTATTCTCTCTTACTCCACCTTCCCCTTTCCTTCAGAGGACCACACGCGCTGGCTTACGTTGTCACCGTCTAACTGTGGCTACAATTCCAACGCGTACAAAGAAATTTGGTGACTCATTTCTTTGTCGTACTATCCGTAAATGGAATGCTCTGTCCGCTCACGTGTTCCCTCCCTCTTACAACCTGGGATCCTTTAAAAGAGGCGTGAAGAAGCAACTTGCAGGCCGGCAGGGTGAGGATGGCTGGTGTGGCAGTTAGAACTGCTGTATCAGCTATCTTCGCGTCTGGACTTCACCTTCACTTAACATCAGGTGGGGTGGTGTCATTTGTCGGACCTATCTATAAAAAAAAAAACTATTTTAACCGTTGTGGTTTTCCTTAAAAGTTCATGAAGATCTATTATCATGAATTTTTCCAGGTTTTTCAAGCTCGTCACTTTTACTGAAGGGGGAGACGCCCTACTCGAACACAAAGTAGCACTTTAAAGTTTAATATTTTGCATACGGATCCTTATTCAAAAGATCTATTCAACGATACCTCACACGATGGGGTAGCCGAAAAAACATCACCTCAGATTACATGTAGGGGGGCTTAAAACTACTTCTTACGTAATTAAGAAATACCTATAATAGACATTTCATTTCTTTGAGGATGTGGCTTTCCTCGAAATATATTTAATTTACTGGAACATTCCTGTAATGAACAAAAAGTGTTTTTTTGGAAATTAAATACTACTATAGTTCATTCGCGTTAAGAAAATA